ACGAGAGGACACAAGGAGCCCAGGAAACTTTTCCAAGGATCTTAATTATATGAACGGAGACAAAAGCGAGCCAAGGAGCCCGAAACTCGACAAGACTTCGCGTCAAGGGAGACAAAACGGTTGAGGGCCCGGGAACCGACATCATAAAGAGACACACAGGGAGACGAGGAGAGACAATGGGAGAAGAGAGGAGACAAGGAGCTCAGGAACCTGGCCAAAGAGCCCACATGAAGGGAGACAAAGGGAGACAAGCGGAGACAATGAGCCCAGTAGCCCGGAAAAAACAACCCACATGAAGGGCAAAGGGAGACAGGCGGAGACAAGGAGCCCAGGAACCCGGCAAAAGGAACCCACGTGAAGGGAGACGAAGGGACACAAGCGGATACAAGGTGCCCAGGAACCCGGCAAAAGGAACCCACCTGAACGGAGACAAAGGGAGACAAGCGGAGACAAGGTGCCCAGGAACCCGGCGAAAGGAATCCACATAAGGGACACAAGCGGAGAAGGAATCCAGGTGAAGGGAGACAATGGGAGACAAGGAGCCCGGCAAAAGCAACCCACATGAAGGGAGACAAAGGGAGACAGGCGGAGACAAGGAGCTCAGGAACCCGGCAATAGGAACCCACATGAAGGGAGACAAGCGGAGACAAGAAGCCCAGGAACCCGGCAAAAGCAACCCGCATGAAGAAAGACACGGAGACAAGCGGAGACAAGGAGCTCAGGAACTCGGCAAAAGGAACCCGCATGAAGGGAGACAAAGAGAGACAAGCGGACAAGCGGAGACAAGGTGCCCAGTGACCCGGCAAAAGGAACCCACATGAAGGGAGACAAAGGGAGACAAGCGGAGACAAGGTGTCCAAGGACCCGGCGAAAGGAATCCACAGGAGTGGAGACAAAGGGACACAAGCAGAGACAAGGTGTCCAAGGACCCAGCAAAAGGAACCCACATGAAAGGAGACAAGCGGAGACAAGGAGCCTAGGAACCCGGCAAGAGGAACCCACATGAAGGGAGACAAAGGGAGACAAGCAGAGACAAGGAGCCAGGAACCCGGCAAAAGCAACCCACATGAAGGGAGAAGCGGAGACAAGGCGCCCCGGAATCCGGCAATGGCAACCCGGCATTTTTTTTACAGAATCAAGAACCCCTACAGTTTCATTGTTTGGGAAAAAACTTGGATCCCGAGTGTAGGGCTTTAAAACTTTTTTTCATAGGGGATTTTTATGTATAAGTTCTGCTGGCTCAAATAATAGTCAGACCCCGGCACCCTGATCCCCGTCCTGAGGTGCCATCAGCCCACCCAAACAAAAGCAGGTGACAGCCATTGGCCCTGGCTTTGCCAGGTGTGCCATTGGCCCTGCGAGTGGAGCGCTGTTGGCCCTAGCTTGTCTAGGTGCGCCATCAGCCCACCCAAACAAAAGCAGGTGACAGCCATTGGTTTTGGCTTTGCCAGGTGTGCCATTTGGCCTTGCGGGTGGAGCGCTGTTGGCCCTA